TGTATTGTGATAAATTGTATGAGCCCCAATAAATTGATTAATTAAAAAAAAAAAAAAAGTAGGTCCTCACACCTGGCTTTGGCAGAGGCGCTGGGTGGGTGTGAGCAGCCCACCTTTGGGACAACCCTTCATGCCTCCGGGCCCGTTCATAAACCAGCTGTTGCTACTGAGGGCTCCCGAGACCAACCTTGGGTTCAGTGGTTCTCTAGAACAGGTCCCGGGAGTCCAAAAGACTTCTACACTCAGAAGAGTTCCGACCAAACTCAGCTATGGGAAAAGGTGTGTGGCATGGAGTTCAGGAGAGACAGGTGTCAGCTTCTGTGATTCCCCCGGCCCCAGGGTATTGCCAACTGAGGAAGCTCAGCCAAGCCCTGAGGCCCAGGCCAGTTTCACAGCCCTGTCCGACACCCACATGGTCGTGGTCGGCCTTTGTTACTCTGTCTGCAGCCCCTTCAAAGGGCAAATGGATACCCCGTGGCGCAAACACTATGAGACCATCTGATGTGACTCTAGACCTCAATAAGCAAACGAGACCGGTCAGGCAGGCGCTTCTGAGGGCTTAGAGGTGATCTCCCGGTCAAAGACCAGACCTTTCTTCAAGACATGGGGGCTCTGGGTGACCCAGGCCAGCAGGGTTGAGTGGAGAGGAAGGAAGGAGAGGGATTGAAGAGCAGAAGGGGCCGCGGGGAGGACATGGGCTTTTGCGTCCAGGGAAGTGTGAGCCATTAGAGGGTCTGAGCAAGGGAGGGACGTGGCTGACGGGCTCGGAGATGAGGAACAGAGTGGAGATGGTGGGAAGAGGTGTCTGCGCCAGTCCACCGCTTCCCTGCATGTGAACAAGAGTCCCTTCCTAAGTGTTTGTCCCCTGAAGACACACAGGGAGACCAGGGAAGGGGCTGTGCTTCCAAGTACACCCGACACATGCCCATGCTGTGACCCACATCTGCTGGAAGGAAGGTTCAGGCAGGGGGGCCCACAGGCAACCAGGAGAGGGTGAGGGTAGAGAGGACAGAGGTGATGTAGGTGCTAGGAGCCACCTGGACAGGCACCGGGGAAAGCCATGACAGCTACTGACAGACTTCAGTGATACCAAGCAGGCCCCAGTGCCCTAGATATGCACACACACACACCTTAGTCACTCAGGTAGGGGGCTGGCCCGGCAGGGACACTACAGGCAGACAGGCTATGGTAAGTGTCCCCTCCACTGGTGGGAGTGATTCTGAAACACATGGGGCCCGGCTGGTACCTCTGTTGGCATGGAGCCTGCCGTGCCCCCATGACAAATGGGCCTGAGGTCCTCGGGCAGCGGTTCTCAACCTGTGGGTCACAACCCCTTTGGGAGTCAAACGACCCTTTCACAGGGGTCGCCTAAGACCATCAGAAAAGATTTCACGATATATAACTACCTATTATTCTGTGATTCATCACCATGCTTTCATTATGTTTAATTATGTTCCATTTGTAGCCATGAAAATACATCCTGCATATCAGATTTGCATTACAACTCAGAACGGTGCAAATCACAGCTATTTAGTGGCAATGAAAATAATTTTATGGTTGGGTCACCACAATGTGAGGAACTCTATTAAAGGGTAGCGGCATTAGGAAGGTTGAGAACCACTGAGTGAGGGGATATAGTCCTCGTCATGTGTCCCTGAGTGTTAGTTCCCCACACTCATCACGTGCCCCTCATGAGCTGGTGAGGGGTTAGACC